GTTCCAGAACTGAAGTTCAGAGAATATGTTGATTGTGGTTTTCTGGGTTGACACTATGTAGTCTTGTAGGTGGTTATTAAAGTTTAGAAGAAACATACCTCTTCCATCATCAGGGTTTATATGTTCCTGTAAAATGTTAGTAACCATGTACAAGACTACAGTGTCACAACCCGTAAGACCCTAAGGCACTAAAAGCTCTTTTTAAATATAATCTGCCAGATACTGAAAAATCAATTATATTAATGCAATGAATGTTATTAACAAATCAACAGTGAAGGAATTAGCTATTATTCAAAGCAGATACACTCTGTTGCGTAAAGTGTGCACATACTGCACAAAACTGTAACATCTTTGTCCCATTAAAACAGTTTTGCTGTAAAATTACTTCAGTTTGAAGTATAGTAATCACAATTGATATGCAATGGGACGACATTTCCTTTGAGTATAGTGCTTTTAAAATTTAGTGGCTATATTTGTCTTTGCTAAGAGAACACTGCCGCATCAAAGAACAACACCCATAAAAGGACAAGCTTTGATGACACTTAAATGACACCTACAACATGATGTAAACTTTTAGGTATCTACTGAAGTACACATGAAATAACTTTTATGAAAAGTGAGAATAAAGAATTCATGAACAAGTAAATGGGAAATATTACCAATTGCCTATAAAATCATATTAACAGATATTTCTCATTAAAGCTCTTTCCACCATATTTAATCACCTGTTCAACTGTGTGAACACGTTATGAAATATATGGCAAATTCTGCCCTACCCTCCTGACACACGCTACTTTGGAACTACTATGAATTACAGAACTCTTTTTGATAACAGACATGAGAAATAATGGATAATGCTGACATGTTCTTGATTCAAAAACATTTTAAAATCTATACACATAGTCAGAAGTATTAGAAAATAATGTGGAAGTAAAATATGCAATATTTTATACATAACAGTCCACACAACCACATAACACTTCATCCATACTCAGTATACTCAGATTAAAGTTAATTTTTATAAAATAAGAGCACTGTCCAGAACAGGTCACCGATTTTCATTGAGCTTCATCAAAATGGGAATAAAAAAAAAGAACTAGAACCAAATCAAGTATTTATGTAACTAGAAATATACTTACGTCTGTAGAACACAGGATCAGAAACCCTAATTTATTATGACATTATGAATCACAGATTTTAACCCACAATGCCTAAATTCCATAACTGTTACCATAATCCACAGAAACGTGAACATGTAATCATGACATATCAATAGATTTTGTAACAGTTGAGAGCATAAACATAGCAATAAAAATGACACATTAACATAAACAATTTAACCTTCTTGTAGATACTTTCCACAAACAAGAATCATTTGGTATAAAGAGAGAATCAGTTAAATAGTTTTTGAATCCTAGCCTCAATCTGTCCTGCATAACATCACATTAGCATTCATCTCATTGTCCAAAGCTTCACTGCCATCTTCATTTACACTATTTTTCAACAGCTATAGTACAAGCAGGCAAAGCTGTAAATCACGTCCATTTTAAATTATTCATCATGATACACGCAGTTCTAATTACTAATTCCAATCTGATATACAGTACTTGAGACACATACTCCTCCAGTTTAAATGTGGTGCTGTCCCCTCTAAAATAAACTTATATTCTAACGAAATCATTACCTGGCAATCTATGCCCAATTGGTGTTAACTAAGTAATATTGAATGATCCGACACTCAATGGTTCTCTATCTTCCAAATTCACAATAAAAAGCTTTGAATCTTCAACAAGCCTTACATAAAAAAACAATACTATTCTACTACTACTACTACTACTACTACTACTATCACTACATTAATAATAGTGTAACTGACCAGTTTACTATCCTATTATTGTAGAAAGGGTTCTGCAGGAAAATTTGTACTCACAGTTACGGCCACCGCACTATATAATTTATACATTCTACACACTTCTTAAAGAATGCTGGTACAAGCCATAAACTGTGTTGTTCATCTCAGTTTTCTCTAAATCATTAACAAACACTATGTTTCCCCACATCAAAGCTATGATAATTTTTTAATGTCTTCCACCATATACATTATCTATCACAATTATTTTCTCAGTAAAGTAAAATATTGTTAATGGATTTATGCCATTGTTAACAGTACAACTTTCCACATCATGCTGGCTCTTTATGGGGCGGGTTCAGAAATGGTCTGACGCCATGTAGCATGGAATGGAATTTTCAAGATCTTTACTTTTGTCTTCGGAAGAGATGAAGTCAGGAGTTTTTGCAATTTTGGGAGAGGAAGAATTTCTACCTGAGGGGCTGCAGCAGAGGCTTCATCTTTGTCTTCACAGTCTTCTGCAGCTTTAGTCTCACCGTTTCTGTTGCTTTCTAATTCATTCTCTTGATCATTTAGCTTCTCTGTCTCACAGTCATCCTTGATCTGGATCGGTTTCAGGATTGGAATACTGTCACTGCCTGAGGATTTCTTTCCAGTTTTGCTGGGAGGAGCTTTGTTATCCTTCTGACCCTCACACTGATCGACAAAAAGCTCGGTAACCCTTAACAGCTCGTGTGTCACTCCCCAAACAAAGTGTGTGAGTGAGTTACACAGATGGTTCACACCATTCAAAACCATGTGATTTGTAGTAGCTGACTGCAAGTCAAGACAAACATTTATTAGCATATATGAAATTAAATACATATTGTCAAACAATATCAAACAACATCATTGCAGGAGACTTAACCTAACACAGACATAAACACAAAATTTCTTCCATTCCTTGCAAAATCATACTAATGTACACAAACTTTTGCACATATGGACACATAAGTTCCTTTCCATTGCTTTGCAAATACAATCTAATTACTGGTATCCTGTGTTTCATAATTGTTGTTAAAAGCTTTCCTGGCTCAAATTTAGTATAGTTTTTCAAGCTTCTGTGACACTGATATTTTGGAGGCTATCAGTACACTTCTGCCATTACCAAACTTTAAGGTTAACACTGTTCATAAACGTTTGCCATTGAATGTGTTATGGTTCAGTTCAATCCATTTCTTAGACATCTTGACCTCCTTACTGGTCTCATTCATGTGGTTTTCTGACCCAGATGTTGATTGCATTCTTTCTCATGATCTACATGTCTTTACCAGTGCATACTTTTTAATCATCCTCATTGCAGCATGCACATGCTCTCTCTCTCTCTCTCTCTCTCTCACACACACACACACACACACACACACACATGTACTTTTTCAAATTAACATAATTTTATTTCCAAATATAACCCCACATATGAAATGCTAATTTGTTTTTAATTACTTTCTTCCACCATAATCCCCCCCCCCCACCCCGAGAAAGTTTGAAAAACCATACTTTTTCTTTGTACATCAGAACATTTGAGAACAAATTTAAAAGCAGCATTACACGTTCAAACATTATTACAAAAAAATGTAATGATCAAAGTACCAAACTGACTGCTACAAGCTGTTGTACCAACCTGTGTCACATATGTCGGAATGATGAGCAGTCTGCGGATATTAGTGCATTGAGCCAAAGCTTTATCAAAGCCAGGTTTCACATCAAAGTTGACAAGTTCGAGGTGTGTCAGTTTGGGAAGGACTGCAATTCCAGCCAGAATACTGAAGGTTGGACAGTCTTTCCCTTGTCCTTTTTCAAGGCGCAGACGTTCCAATTTCTTCAGCCGTGAGAGCGAATCAGGTCCAAATTCAGGGGGAAAGTCGCAGCATTCGCCAAGTTCAAGTGACTCCAAATTTTTAAGAGAGCCTAATACATTGGGTTCCATCTTCCCCAGCTCTTTAAATGTTGTCAGTGACTAAAAGGGATTCCAATACCAAAATTATTAAGATAATTCCTTTTAAATGCAATAGTGAATGAATTCCAGATGGCAATTCAATTTCCATCACATCAAACAATATATAATTATAAAATCCAACATGGCTTTGGCCTATTGTTAATTCTCGGACATTTAGTGTTGACAATCTGAAATTACATTTCACACCACACTGGAGCCAATACTGTCTGCTACAGCCTGACATTTTTTTATAGGGAATTAATGAGGTTTGAATCCACAACCCACTAAAAGCAAATTCTGTATAGTACCCAGTAGTCCTTATACAATCAAATTATCTTTTTGAGTTATATGACTGTTCGATATTACAAAGAAATATACTGAAGGATATGGATTGGTTTCGTGTTGACTATGAGGCAGAACTCAGAAGACGGATCCATCTTCATACAAGGTGTTGTGAGAACCTAAAATCTCAGTGATTTTGAGTTATTAAACAATGCTTTTTCAACTACATAGTGTAAATAGCATCAAAGTTCAGGATCACTGAGAATGATGAGGAAAAAATTGGTAGTGGCCAGTTTTAAGATACTATCTCAGTGTGTCATAATGTAGTGATTATGTTCTCCTGCTTTGTATTCCGTTGTTGTTGTTGCGCTTTTCTGTGAAACATTTTTAACCACTTTTTAAATAATCCACTGATAGAAAGGCAGCAATAAGTCTCTTAGTTACTGCAAAGTGATTGTTATTAAAACCTCTGCATCTATCAACAATATGCCATAATGGCAGTTACATGGTTTATTTTACAATGCTGAGTCAAATGTACATACTATATAGCAATAAATTAGACATGACAGGATGATAGCCTATATGACGTTTTACTGGCATGCTTCTGGACAAACTAAGAAAAAACAAAAAATAATTAGACTAGCCACCTAGTTGAGATTTTATCTGAGAATTTTCAAAAAATTATGCAAGATGCGGTAACCATTACATTACAGTATTCAGTAGTTATGGAACTCCGAGACAAAAGCATACTCACCAGGTGTTTGAGACTAGACAGTTGCTTCAGAGCTACCAAAGTTGTGCTGAGATGAATACCTGAGAGGCTCTTGAGTCGCAGTTCCTGTAGATTTTTGTGATTTTCCACAGACTGCAGGTTAATATTTGAACACCTGAAGTCAAAAAATGTTCTCATAATACCACTACACCAACAAAACCAGTTCCAGTGTGAACTTACAACACAAGAAAAGGAAGTGGGAGAAATGTTCACTAAACATGACTTCAAATGGATGGCTGCAAAGTTTCAGAAAACAAAAACATTTTTTTCAGAGATGTTTGTGGAGAAACGAGAGATGTGAATGAAGAAACTCAGACAGATTAGGCAGCTAAGTTGTAACCTCTTACAGAAGAATATGAAAGAACACAGCTAACAGCAATGCATTCCACAATAACATTTCGTTTTTAAAAGTGGTAAATAATCACTTAAAAATTTGGTGGATGCTAGCAAAATAGTGATGACATTACAGTAAAAATTTCCCAATTTAATCTTCATGGATTCTGTAGCAAATGCCCATATTTATAGTTTACTTATTTCACCCAAGGTTTTCCAAACATAGTTTTAAAAGCATCTCAATTCCTCTGTGCGTCATGTCCGACTTACATCAACTTTCTTGATAATAGATTAAACACTACTTCTGTAACATTCAGAATTAAATCTAAACCTGGTTTAACAGCCCTTCCCTACAAAAAATAAACTGTCTCCATTACTGAACATTCATAATTCTGCCCCAGAAAACATTAAATTTCAATACAAAAATTATATGGATTTTCTTTTTTGTTGCAATTGGGTTTTGCATTCCACATATGTACACAACTGGCAGGATTCTTACTTGATTGACAATGCGTTGATTATTTTCAACTGGGGGCAAGACTCTGCCACCCTCTCAACCACTCGAGCAGGACATCGGCACAAGTCTAAACGTGACAGGCTTGTAGCATGAACAATAGCATGACAAAATTCATCCCACATGGAATGGGTATCTTCATTTGGTACAAGCATCTTGCGCAAGTCAAGGTGTTGTGTCTCATGCCTGCGCAAGCTCTTCACAAGACCATCCCAATCACCAACATGCGAGTTCTTCATCCTCACAGTCCGCCACTACAAGAGGTAACACTGCAATTAGATCTGCCTGGGAGAATTATATAAGAAAATATGCTACTACTACTACGTAGCTACACAAAAAAGAGAAACGTGTGCAAGTCTGTGGATTGAATATTGCTTTCTGAAGTGAAAATCGTTTTTAAAACACTGGCACAATATTATGGCCAGTAATGTTAAATCTTGTAGTACCATAATGCACTGAGAAACAAATAGATTGAGACATCTAATGTAGTTAAAATTGGTTTCAAATTGTTTTGTAAATATGACACAAATTTTCCAATAATATTTCAGTCTGTACAGCAACCCCTAGCCAACTGTTGGTGTTATGTTCCTATAATACAGTGTTAAGAAGATCAAGATCCAATGGGAAACAGGAGTATAGAAAAACGGCAGTCACTGTTAACACTATTAAGCTTAAGTTGTTAGATCCTTCATTATACACCACAGATAATAAGCAATTACAAGTTTAAAAACAAAAGACACTGAATTTTTTAGTTATAAAAATTACTCATCATGGATGCATAAAACCAAGCATTATGAAAGCAAAACTTAATACAAATAGAAAACTGTGGAAGCCTGAAATCTTTGGTTGGTGAGGTATTTATGTATTCACAATTTCTGTTCTAACACCAGCTACAGTTCATATGTTGGCTAACTCTGAAGCCTAGGCCCTTAATTTAATTTAACATTTATGACATATACTGCATTTAAATTTGGAAACATTTAATACTTTTAATTTCTGCTTCCATGAAACAAATAAAAATTTAATACATGCCAGTTTAAAAATTATATGCTTCTGGATACTGACCAGCGAAGGATGTGAGGCCATATCATGCCACATGCGACAGACTCTAGCTGCACGTAGCAATTCCTGAACTTTAAGGTACTGGAACACGTGAAGCAGAGACGAGTAGCCAGCACACACATTCATCATGAAATACTGCATAAAGTGTCTCTCTGTTTCCAGGGTATTTGCCTCAGGAACACTGCTCTTTGAATGTTTTGCAGCAGGGCCATCTGATTCATGGCCTGCTAACTTGTGCTTCCCCTTGCTGATGTCCTCAGAATCCCTGTAATAAGAAAAGCATAGCATTTTCCATAATAAACAAAAAATCAGTTAACTGTCAGGATCATATTTGTTTCCAACATCAACTTTCCCAGTTGCAGTTTTATGATATTTCTGATGTCTGACTGAAAGGCAAAGGTGAAGGAATCCACTTCTGAGGTGGAAGAGCCAAGAGGGTGAATTACAGTCACTCATAATGACAGCAACATGATGAAGATGAGAAGGCAGAAGGAACCTACAACTTAATTTGAACTCCAAAATGGGGACCTGGACCATGTTAAATGGGAGCCTTGTCACCATAGCATCATACATTTTCAGACGAGAACCTTCTGTATGAAGGGTAAATTTAAATACAATAAAGATGCAATCACAGACAGCCTTTTCTGCTGCATGGGGGCTGGGCAGTTGGCTAACAGCTCCTCATCATGAAAAAAAGAGAATGTTACACACAGCCTGATTTCGAACACGGAGGGGTTATTCTGAACGACCTAAACAAATTAAAATGGGCATAAGATTTGGATCTTGAAATGTCAGAAGTCTCTATAGGTCAGGTTAATAGAAAAGAGCAACAGAGACATATAAATTTAGTGGCAGTAGAACAGGTCAGACTGGAAAAATGTGCACCAAGACCATGTTTTTGGGCTCATTTTAAGTCAAGAACGTCCAATGCCAGAAAGTCAATCAGTATGAAGATATGAGCATTTTAAGGCTGCTAACAAAACTGTGTAGAATAAACTGATTCAAGTCCATTGTGTACATAGCGAAATACAGCACTACGGCTGAGTTGTTGAATAATGTAATGGCACACACAAGAAACAATCAATCCTCTCTTTTAAGGTCTGTTACTACCATTTCACGAGGGGCTACAACGTGCATGACCAGGGAGGTCATTTTAAGTACTTACTTTATTAGCACAAGCATTAGTAACTACTTCATAACATTTCATTATTTATAATTTATATAAGCCAAATTAAATAAAATTAATGGCATGTTAACTGATCTTACAATTGTTCCATCAGCAACCTAAATTCTTAAAATGCCCATATCATCTTAACAACTGACTTTTGTACATATGCTTAATGGACCTTTTTGACTCAAAGTGACCCCAAAAACATGTTCTTGAGCTATAGGCATCCTATTGCAGGACATCTGTATTTGAACAGATCAGCTAATGAATGTACATGGAGCCTACTACATAAACAAACTGAAATACCCAGAGCTGAGTCATCAGTGTCAAAGTATGGCTTCACTGACACCGAAATTGCTAATGAAAAGTTTAAAATGCATAAATAACAAGCGATTGACCAAAGTCTGGCACAAATGATTCAAGTATCAGATAAAACAATACACTCTACATTTCGCACATTTATTAATTCCATTTAGAATAAGAAAGAACTGCCACAGCCCCAGAAGGAATCCATTACTGTACCTATTAATAATAAGAGGAATAAAAATAAATGTGGCAATTAATTAGAAATTTCACTGTTATCAACTACATACAAAGTAGTATCAAACATTCATCTCAAGATTAACTCAATACACTGATGATATTATTTAAAAATATCAGTGTGTATTCTGATGCAACAGATCAACTATAACTAAGATGATATTTTTTTGGTTTTGGCACCATGTAGACTTGATGATAGGAATCAACTAATGAGTCTATATGGTGCCAAAATAAAAAAAAAATCATCCTCATTGCCATGAAATCCTCGAATCTCACATTGTAAAATATTGTGTATGTCAGATTTGGGGGTGGGGGGGTGTGTGTTTACAGTGGGGCAATACATCAGCTATTTATACACTTCAAGAAAGCCTACGATTCAGTTAGGAGAGAAGTATTATATAACATTCTCTGGCATGAAACTATTTCAGCCAACTGAAATGTGTTTAAATAAATCCTATAGTAATATCTAAAGTAAACAGAGGTTTGATTCATTTCATGATCAGAATAGTCTCAGACAAGGAGATCACCATTACTTCAAACTTTTCTACAGAGAGAGAAAGAAGTTCTATTAACAATAATACGGAGGTTCGACTAGAAATACAGATGATACTAAGTACATGTTCCTGTGTTGTTACAAGAATGCAGGAGAAAATCATAATCTGAAAATAGCTTATAAATCTTTAAAACAAATCGGCAATGTTCAAATATTTGGGAATGACAGCAACAAATCGCAACTATATTCATGAAGAAACGCAGAATATTACTGAATATTATGATGATGATCAAATCATGAAGAATGAGATGGGAAGGTGCACACATGATTTCAGTTAGAAAATGCAATGAGATCACCTGAAGCACTTTGGCATACATGTGAGGATAATTTTAAAATTGATCTTAAATAAATAGGGTGGGAGAGTATAAACTGTATTCATCTGGTTCAGGACAGGGACCAGCGGTGGGCTCTTGTGAACACAATAATGAATCTTCATTTTCCATGAAAGGCAAAGACTTTCTTCACTAGTCGAGCAACTGTCAGTTTAACAAGAAGATTCTGCTCAATGGAGTTAGTGGGAATCTGGTATTCTAAACAAGCACTAAGTTTTGACTTATCAGATGTGTGGAATGAGGGAGGTGCATGTTAAATCCAGCCTGTCCTGCATTTGAGAAATGTGATGTGGGATTTCATCACCTCACCCCTTCATCACCAAGAATCCATCAATATAATACTAATGCACTGTAGTAAAATTTTCTTTTTATGTAGACAACAAATGAATATTTTACTACGTACATTTATTTAAGAAAATTTCAGTCATAAGTTTCTCTTGCACACACGCACACATGCACACACACAACTAAATAATTATTTTACACATCTTATTCTGGTTATCAAGTAATTCAGTAAGACACTGACACAGAGCAATGTTAAGCAGCTGGAATTGTAAAAGAGTACACATGACATAACAAGATCTGCAAATGCAAGTTTACTTTTCACAAACATCTCCCACTGTTTGTGTGTAAATTTAATATTTCAGTTTTAAATGCACATAAATATTACAATGGCTTCTTTTGATCACAACTTCATATTTCTCCATTAACACAACGAAAAAAAAATTACAGTTAATAACAAACACACTCCAAACTGTCTGACTGAAATGCAAATAATTAAAGGAACAATGTGTTAAATATTTATGCCATGTTTATTCACCATTAGTGGGTCCATGTGCATACAATCTGCTAATTCAGCCTTTCCTTCTCTAAAATTTCAGTGCCACATTTGTATACAAACTATGCAATTCTTCTTCTCTACAACACAGAGAGGGTCTTGGCAGCCTCCTTTCAGGAAACATAGAGAACTGTTATGCATGTTGAAGTAAATAAAATAATATCAACATCACTACTGAAAATCAAACTTCATCAATTCAGACTATAACCTGTCATTTTACTGAACTGTCACTGCGCCTCTACTTATCTACTAAAATAGTAACAGTAGTCATCTTCAGAAACTTGCCATCTCCATAAAAAAACTATACTGTAAGCAACACCCAAATACAAACAATCATGAGTATGCTATAAACACATGTCTATAAATATAAGTACATGTTCAAATTCACTAGACTGCCCAGGTGGAGTAATTAAAAATATTTAAACCAGTAACAGTAACCAAGCCCATGTAAATATACATATATATATATATGGTTAACAAATCATTAAACTCTTTCCAATTTCATGCCTGATGTCAGAACCTCTTTCATGAACCTCTGTTTATTCAGGAGACAATAGAGATATGGAGTCGGCTGCTCCATTTTTAATATTCATCTAAAGGTGCATAAGAAATATCCAGTTCTTCAAATACAAGTTAAGTGATGCAGTTACATCCTTATGTTGTAACAAAAGGGGTATCTATCATATGGAATGTCTGAATCAGAAATTACATTTAAAAATGAATCCATATAAGTTCACACCCTTACTAGGATTTGAACCCAGATTGCAAGTGTTAATTACCATAGTGAAACACATAAGCTATTTCAAATGGCTTAATATTGAAGAGGCTATTCAGGAAAAGAGACAATCAATACTATCTAACAAAAACACTAATCTGGAGAGGAAGGAATGTGATAGGATTTTATGGCCAGCACACCTACAGATTATGAATCTGTAAAAAACAAAACAAATAAATTAATACACTAATAAAAGAAGCACACTAACTTTCAGCAGACTCTACACTAATCAATAATTACTGAAGAAATAATAACCTTTATATATTCTTTTTTGGATTATCAGAACATTTTATATGATAAAAGACTTTCACAATTTCTTTTATAAACTGAGTATACTTATAAATATAGTGCCAGGAAGTACACATACAAGTGAGCCCAAAAGTGAACAAATGACACTCTGGAAAGCATGTGCTTCTTTGTGGTACTGTGATGTTAATGAACAAACTGGACTAACCTCACATGTCCATCCATCATGCCATCTGCAGAGTCTCCCATCTTCTCTGGGCTATCTGTTGGCTTTAATGACTGCTGAAGATTGCCAATAATGAAGTTACCAGGCTGAAAGCCTGGAGGGCCATTGACAATCAAATATTGTGGTTGTTGCTGTTGAGAGTTCTTGTTTGCCAAACCATCCTGTCCTGATGTTGCAGTTGATGATGTGGGAATGAATGTTGAACCTGACCCCATAAAAGGAACCAGTAACACGCCTGGAGGATTCTGAAGGCCTCCAGAAACCCCACTGCTCACAATATAAGCTGATGATTGTGGTAAAACTGGACCTCCAGTAGTCACAAAATTTGTGAGAGGAGATGTACCCTGTACTACACTGAATGTCTGTCCACCATTGGCAGATGATGATGGCATAAGGACTTGGGGCTGCCCAATAAGGCCTGGAGTACCACCAAAAACAGAAGTGGTACGACCAGTTGTGTTTGTGAGGACCAAACTAGATGCTAGTGTTACAGGAGCTTTATCTCCCAAAGGAGATAAATCTCCTGCCAGCACAGAGGGCTTTGAAGTTGGTGTTGTGGCTGTGGCAGCCATTGCTGGGGATACAGACAAAACATTATGTTTTGGAACAACAATATACTTTTTACCACCCACACAAGCAACAGACTGAACACTGGAGGGGTTTGGAGGAGAAGCCAAGGGGTCACTTGTGGTACCTGTTGAAGAGACAGAGTTGCTCAATGATGTTGAAACAACATTTGAGGAAGTTTTGGCAACTCCGCTGGGACTCAACTGAATGGTGGATGATGGTGGAAGCCATGTGGTAACAGAACCCACAATAGTGCCCTTGTTTCCAGTAGTTCCTTTCTGTCCCTGCTGAGAAGGAAGGACAGATTCACGATTTCTTGGCACTTTCACAAAACGAGGGACAGTGATGAGTTTGCCAGACTCACCCATGCGTGGTAAACGTTGCAGTTTTGGGGGTGAGGAGGGTGTTGCAGCAGACTGGCCTACAGTAGTGTCACTCGGAGAAGTCTTATTTCCTGCACCAAGAGCACTGATTGGGGTAAGTGGTGGAGGAGTAGTTGAGATAGCCAGTTTGGGGCTTGATGTATTGCCCTGTTTCGTTGTAGAAGATGGCTTTCCATCTTTCAATTCTTGCTGACAGTTCTGTTAAAAGAAAACAGCACAGCTGTGAGATATCACATGACAATGAATGCACTTTATTCAAATTATCTGCACAGGGCAAACACAAGTGATAACTGACAAATTAAAATATATTAGTACTGAAATACATCAAAATAAAGAAAGAAAAATATGACACAGAAAAAGTTACACAAAAGTAGTTTGTAGAACTATCCAATGGTGTTCATGACAATCACAATTAAAAGACCTAACTTACCAGATATGCCACATTTAATATGTAAGAACTTTTCTGAGGATAGCTCTGAAAATGTGTGTATTCTGATATTCCTTCATACTGTCATCCAGACAATAAATAAAGATGTACATGAAACACCTTTGTTTTCACCTTTCAACCATCTGACACGGCTGGGAGCCAAAGAAGAATTCATTATACTCAGATGCCATAGAAGCTTCATATCATACATAGTACATGAAGTTATTTACGTCACATTTGCGTATTATTTTAGTACATATTTGTGTGAGACCTGTTGCATATGCAGTGACCATTATTTTACTAAAATGTAAATTCAATGTCAGCATGTGTACGCAAAAATTTATTATTTTGTTAAAACAACCAAAGACACTATTCAAGATAAAATAATAATTTATGCTGAGATATATTTTCAAATTACACAGAATTCTAGCAGGATCTGTGCTTAAAATAATGTTCCATTTCCACAAGATGCCAATTCTCATTTGTAAAAAATAAATAATGGTACTTTTATTATAATTTCCTGTAATAATATTTCCACTGTATGTACTTTCAGAAAGCTTTAACTGAAACAAGACATCTAATAAGTGTGTATAATAATACAATATTTGATAAGTTAAGGAATTAATAATTTACAATAACACTGGAAACTAAGAAAGAAAGCAGAAATTATCAGAAAAGGTTTTAGAAACACTGAAAGAATACAACACCTATTCTAACCACACCTGAACGGTGATTGAGGACTTTTAAAAAAATCACAGACTGGTAATAGAGAAAGCTGGTGGTGGCAGATTTATAATGGCACAAATTCAGTTCTCTACACAAGGAAACAAACACACACCACAACAAAATTTTCATATTTCTTCAATTCCACTACTGGTGAAACATTTTATAAGATTTGAGGTTCTAACAATAGTGAAGATGTTGATGTGTCTTCTGGGTTGTAACAACATGTGGACTTGTAGCTACACACCAAACTTTTGGAGAAACATCACATGCTTCACCATCACCTTCTTTGTAAATACAAGAAGTTCATTTTGAGGGACATTCAGGATTTTAACTTTTTATAACAAAAAAAAATTATTTTATCATTTGTTTACAGTTATGTTAACAGTAATGTAATGGTTATGAATTGTAAGGTTATGATGGGCTGGACATGTAAATCAATAAGAAAAGAAATGCATATAGAATTTTGGCACAGAAAAACCTCTTGGAAAGCATCACTTGAAAGACCAAAAAGAGAGATGTAATGAAGAGATGTTATGAGGATAAAATGTAGCTTTAACAGCCTCAATATATCTATATAAAGAGAAAGACAGTTTAGATTTCTCTAAAACTAAAACTACCTTATTTCTATGTTATAATAGTCTACTGGCCATCAGTTTAGAGTAATATTTTGCACTAACCTTACACACATAGCTGTGGATGGTTTCAGAGATAGTACCAAGTCCCACACACTCAGGATGGTACAGACACAGGCACACTCGGCACTGAAGTGATGGAATGAGACCCATGACGCCAACACAGCGTATCGAGCACGGTTCATTGTTGGACTTCTTTCCACTGACACTCCTGCAAAGTGTGCGGTGGCGAAGGCAGCAAGGGTAAGGCCAAGGTCAGAGAGGACACAGGCAAGTGAGGATAAAATAGCCTTAACATTATCTGCATCTGAACTATACTCGGAGAAGATTCTGCTAGAAACATATCTAATTTGGTTAAGCCTTATGACGTTCATGCCACTATTTCTACTTCGCCTACCTTGGTTCTGTAACTTTCATACCATTGTCCTAAATATGTAACATTCAAAAAATTCAAATTTTTAAATAAACTTAAGGCACTGTAACTAATTTAAGTAAAAAACACACCCAACTACTGATTCTCACACAGTTCCCCAAACTTAATCCAATTCCAAATATTATTTAAGTTTAATATTTACAAAGTATTAATAAGCACTCATGACAGTGTGGTGCCATGTAGGGTTCTGAAGGATTAGCATAAAGAGTAAACATTTACAGGCCTGCACAGCCATATGTGGGTCTTTTAAATTGTAGGTACACAAAATCAATTTTATTTCAAGTAGCATCTCTAGAAGGTTATCTTTAACAGCCCTGCTTCTTTCTTTACAGATAAAATGCACATCACAGAATTTACCAAAGTGTTTAATTTTGCAGTCACTTCCAAATGGTGTCTCCTAATATGTACTAAAATGTAAAATTACACCTATGCAAAAGCAACATGAACTAATAATGTATAGGGGTCATGAAAGTAAAGCTCCATGCATTCTCAATCTTAACACTAGATGGAGATGTTCAGTAAGATTCACTTATTGTTATGTTACAGCAATGCATTCTCAAAATAAAATTATTCCATTCTGGAACACTTTTCCATGACAAAACATTAAGGACAATAAAAAACATGACATGACCAACTCAAATAAATGATGCTAACTTTTTATATTGCTGTAATGCAGTGCTTTCAACCTTGAAACTTCCTTTTCTGTAATAAATTACCTGAAGTGAAACCTGTGGACCACTTTGAAGGAAATTAAAATTTTACAACCATTACATCTTAGCAAGTTAATGTACAAAATACTTCATACAAAAGTCACTCACCAGATCAAATGCTTACATCAAACAAAAAAGTAAAATACATATTTCATGTATTTGCCAATTTATTTTCTACATTCCACCAGCATGGTACTTACACCAAGCCAAAATAATTAGCAAACTGGTACTATCATACTGATGGCTATGAATAATCACAGATGGACAGACACCAATGATTCAGGAATGCAGTTCTGAAGAAAGAATCAGAATTCTAAGAACATTGTATCAAAATTTTAGATTTTAAAAACTGTATAGTCTTTAGTACCAAATAAAACATCTCAATATTTGAAGATCAGAAATCATGACAGATAATAACTCGATTTTCTTTTAAACTTGTTACCTGATCTGAATAACTTAATTCCCATATCTTTACTAACTTCATAGTCCTAGAAAAGCTTGATAGTCACTCAGCTGGTAAATAATCCATGTTATCCTATGGAACTCAAAGATTCATTACTTTAATAACAGCCAGCCACTAGATCATATCCTGCGCCAGATAAATGAAATCCACGTCTCACACCCCATTTCTTTAATGTCGATCTTAATATTATTCTCTTATTCATACGAAGGTCCCTTCTCTAAAGGGTTTTCAACCAAATTCTCTAAGCAGTTCTCACTCTTGATGCATACTGCATATGCCTGCCCAATCCACCCCTTCTTAATGACATAGAACTACAGAATATCTCTAAAAAGGAAAAAAAAGTATCTGCTTAGACACTATAGCAAATATTGAACAACACTGTTTATTGACAGAAGTAATACCAAAGCAATTAAATCCCTTAAAATTGTTATTTTAATTACTTACATTATCTTGTAAATGTTCCTACATAACAAAACAGAAATCTGACACATCAACACAATTCCATATACGCTACTCATTTAATTTAAAAGCAAATGCCATTTTATGGTTTTAAGTGGTATTTTTAATCCATGCTTCAACACATTATGTTCACAACATTATTACAGGGCCCCAAACTCAGAAGCTATTAACTATAAAGTAAATAAATTCAACATGATAAATTTCACATAACTTGGAAAATACAATAAAAGAATTTCGAAAATTTATAATTTGAAAGTCATCCCAGTTCAACTATGAAATATTCAAGATTAAGAAAATATTAAATTCTGGAAAACCACACAATAAGAGTCAGCCATTAAATTTTGGGTTTAGAGTATGAATTCGTAAGTTTATATCTCCAGATGTTTATTACTACAAATTCATCTAATGAATTAAATATAAACATCTTCCTTTAGATACAACAGTCAATTCTGCTTATAATCCTTTACAAATTATTAACATCTTAATGTTACAATATGATATAATAATGATTTCTATTGCATCATGATGGAAATTAATGACTGCTTGTTAATGGCTACTTTCAGACAGAAAAACAATGAAGGCAGAAATGCAAAGAGCAATCTTTCATGATTACAACATAACAGCATGTGCGTACAATGCAGTCCCTGGAACAAGCATTAAAAACAAATACTATGAACCTGAAGTACACTTCTGGGCTAACACTGTGGTCAGTGTGTACAGCCTGAGGAAATAGGTTGGCATTGAAAAGGTTAAACTCCATTTATTCTACCTGCAAGTTAAAATCAAAGAAATAGGATAGGTATATTGTTAAAACTTGCAACAGCCTAGTAAATTGTAAAGGTAAAGTTTGTCCCTGTGTTTAACTATTTGAAGCTGAAACGTGTCTAAATAATACATAAGATTCTTAAAAGAAAACATAACACTTCTCCATTACAAAGATCAACTGGTCAATGCAAAATACACAGTACATTGTTCCTCTCTTCTTACAGACTCACGGGCCACAGGGTTAAAATAAGGACAGTTTACTGAAACACTTCAATAAAAATGCTAATAAATTAGGCCAATAACTGTAAACAATTTTCTTTAACAAAATCACAAATTGGTGTGATGTTTAAATGCTGACTTTACTTGAGGAAGATTTAAATATCAGATTTAATTTCTCTGTTGTGATCTGAATGCTTCACTCTGAGAATTCAGTTTTGACATGTCACAGTTTTTGATTTAATGTTGTTTATTAAACTGAACACCATCTCACAGTGATAGTTACTTTATTTAATGACACTTTCTTCAGTAGCTCAGACTATATAACATTGAATGAGAGGATGATGGTGAATTAGAAATAATGTGGAAGGAAGCGGTCATAGCCTAATTTAAGGTACTATCGACATTTGCCTAAAGGACTGAGGAAAACCACAAAAAACCAGTGAGGATAGCTGGTATCTAGGCTGAAATTTAAACCTGGGACCTTCCAAATTCAAAGAAGTTTTAACCACTCAACCACGACATTCAGTAGTTACTACAAAATACTGATGACAATAACAATACATGTTTCTGGATATGAGGAAAAAAAATTTCATTAAAACAGTGGGACAGCATTAGAAACACTTTATGCTGGCTGCAGAGTGAGAAACCCACATGAAGACAGCTACTTACACAATAAACAAAATTTCTTTCATTGCAAAATGTTTTGACATTGTTTATATCATCTCCACACGACACCTAAATCCTTCAAAGCCAGGTGGTAACTGCATGTACCACCTGCTGCAACAATAACAAATTCTGTATTTATTGTTTTCGCATGATTCTCAGAGTAAACAGCAATTATTTCAAAAAAAAAAAAAGCATTAACCAACTGATCCTTGTAATGGTTATGGGTTGTTGTTTTTTTAAGCCTTGGACTAAATGTCCAAATACTATTTAGATGAGCTTTGGCTTCAAAGGGTTAATTACAAGCATATGACTAATATTTTATCATTCTTAGTTTTCTGTAACAATTTCTGTTCTTCTAAGGTAATTCTTTTGTCACTGTTCACTGCTACAATTATTCTTGCAATTTTGGTTACAAACTTAAAATTAATGGTTAGAATGTCTGTAGTATTTATCAAAGAATGGCATAACAAAAGTAGAAACATGCTGTGACAAAAATTAATTTGTTGTGTGTGTTTTGTTTTAAGGAGGTTTCAAAATGGTGAACATAACAGAATATGAGAAACATTAAGAGTGACCTAATGTTACATTTAACCTTGATGCCAGAATTTAAACCCTGACTGGCTACACAGTGCAGCAGTATTCTAAAGGCCCTGTGGCAGAATTTTTTACACAGAATTTATAAATTGTATTTTTGAAACTGCTACACAGAATTTTATTACATTTTCAGGCAATGTTTAGAAGACTCTGAAATTCAATGTGATATAATTATTTTTATAAATTTCATTAGTGATAGGTCAGAAACTGGCTCTGCCTGGTAACAGGTACTTGGCATATTCCCATAAGCATCTGGACAGCAAGAAACAACTGAAAACTTGGAATATTAATTTGAGTTCATGCTGTTGCATGTCTATGAATTTTGCATACCAATTTATTTCAGTAAACATAGCATCCACAACTAAAGAGTAAAAATATAGTTTAAAAGCCTCCAATGTAATTCTTACAAAAAGTGTGGAAAAAATGTTTTCAGAAACTGAATTCTGGTAGGCCTGTAATAATCATCAACTTTTTCTATTGCCAATCACGCTGTTCTTCTAATGTACACCTCTTCACTCTTGCACCATCTAATGTTTCTTATTCAATTTCCTCACTGTCTGAGTTTGCCAAAGAAGAAACACTATCATAAGAATCAGAAGTGTCTACCTCACTTCCACTGTTACAATCACAAACTTCTTTGCCTAGAATGTTTCAAAATGCACAGTATTATGCACATTTCTAGACCATGCGATGTACTTAGCAGCACCATACTGAAATCCACTAACAAGCTTGTTTGAAGATCATAAAACATACTTTATAAGCCCTGTGTGATCATACATATTAAGAAACAAGCCTAACCAGTGAAAACTACGATGTTTCAAGATCTCGTACTATAAGTAGTTTAATCTTACTATAACAGATGATACAACCATGACAATTTTTCCGAGCCCGCAGTTGGTAAGTATATCCTATACTTGGGATATGCTAATCGAAAAGTTTAAATACTCTGAGAATGTATGGGCTCCAAGCTTTAAAGACAAAGATTTACCTCTGAAGAGATTCAGACTTTTCAATTTTGTCCTAACCACATTTTACCACCTTTATAATTCATTTAGCTTCAAATTTACTGTAAGCCTGTGAAGAGAATAATGTTAACCAATTTCAATACCATGATACAATTCTAATAAATAGCAATAAGTTCTTGAGGAGTAATAATTAATTTACTTTAGAGATATAAAGGTCCAGTTAGAATTATGTAATTAAATATTTGAGAGCAATTTAAGTATTCAACTGTACATTATTAATACACATATAATTCCAGTTACCAGTTAACGCAGCAATCATTTTAAGTCTTAAATGACTAGGCTAAATGTAATTCACACCTCCATATGTTACACACATGTACATATATGATAAACTTTACACATCTCATACATTCTACAAATATACTGGCAAATTGCAGCTATTTTATATGCTTTTTGGCACCCTATAAAAGTTCCGTCTACCATAAAGAAGTAATGTAAAAAACAAAAGTTCTATATGAAAGAACAACTTTCTAGTCCTCAAGATGTTACATATGCATGGATGCATCCTGTAATTAATTAACAAATAATGGAAATAAATGCACTACAGGGATAAAGACAGTATGCATCTGAAGACATTAATTATCATTACCACTAGCTGAGGATCATAATAAAAGTAACAATACGCACAATCAATTCTCAGCTAAGGTATTGTACCAGTCAGTGTCAGTTCCCATAGCATTGTCCAGATGTTGCATTTCTCAACAGAAATATATGCTTTATTGCCATAAAGAATATCACAGGTAGCATTTGCAATTTATATCTTTAGAAATGCTGAATGACTACCAATGAAGCATCACTATTCACAAAAAGAAGTCAATAACACTGTGCAGTAGTAGAAAGGAATCTTATAACATGTGAACTCATTACACTGTTAGAGTGGATCTTCTGGCTTGTAACATTGTGCAGTCTGGAAGGCGGTTATCAATGTTACAGAGGAATCTGAAGAGAGGTAGGAGGGTCCTCTAAAATGTTGGTGACCATCTACAAGGTATCACAACCCAGAAGATCACAATCTAAAGCTTCACCAATGCAAAACCTCAAATCTCAATAAAATTTTGATTTCCCAAGCAATTCCAAGGAGATACAAGTTTGTACCAATTACAGTCTTCTAAAACTAAACTCCAGTATAAATAAACATATACGCAAAAATTAAAAATGTATTTTCAATTCAACCTTTTAAATCTGCATAAACTTCTGACTTAGCAGTTCAAACATACTTCAACTACGTAGAGATATATGCAATTAAAAAGGCAAAGACAAATTCCTGTTCTTGAAAATACTAATTATTTATAATATATCAGTGTGGTAACACTGCAGAAACAGCTGTATCTACATAAAAATTATATTTAAAAAATCCCATTTAAGAAAACACATTTAACCTGTAGCAACCTGTAGTTTCTAGGAAGACCAGGCATTTCCTAGATATTTTAAGTGTGAAGAGTGGGACAGGGAAATTGTAAGAGCCCAATACATGCTACATGTTTACAACAGATGTGTGTACTCACTTTGCTGACCAGCTAAGAGTGGTGACAGCCTGGGAAGTGCCTGCAGCAGTTTTCAGAAAGGGGCTGTCACTTGGGTTCCACATGGGAGGCAGCATTCCAATCTCCAGGTCCCCATCCTCTGAAGATTCATTATTCTTCTGTTTGGCACCAGATCCTTTGCCAATCTGTAGCTTCTGCAATCTCACAGATGACACCTGGTATAAAATATAGCAAGTACATTCCTACTGCACTCATTCATGTAACACCTGTATTCACAACATATTGTGGTTCTTTCAACATCCAGCAACACCTTTCACTCTCTGAACAGTAAACACAGGCATTTACATGTACACGTAAACAAGAGTCACTGAACACATTATCTACTAAACAGGAAAGCAACGAGCGCAGGGTACGAGCATGTTGTGATGACAAATAACCAACGCCAGATCAGTGGTGGCCATGATACATTCTTTACAGTTTCTGCATCAGTGTTATGAATTTACTAAAACTGGAGCACAGAGTTATCACAACAGAAGGTAATTACTGTCACATAATATTTAATTTGTAGGTATAATGTATCGTCAGGGACTGCTGAAAACTGATTTTAAGATGTGGCTTTTCATGTAGATGGCTTACATTCACAAAAATATGGTATACAACTACAACACAAGCTCAGTTAATTCAGAATATGGTGGTATGGATGTGTAACACACATGGATAACAGTATTTTTTCAGAGTGTCAAAAATTAAGATAATGAATACACAAACATACAGGAGACCAGGAACATGAAAGAGAGATCAGGTAACATATGACACAAAAGAGAGTAAGGAAAGAAGAGACATACATGTAAGACTGCTAATGGAATGATACAGAAGAATTGGGAATGTTTTTCATAAGACCAACATTGACAAAAACACCTATAGATGGTGTCCACACCTTTATCTTTGGAAATGTTTTTGGTGGTACAGTTCGTCCCTGTTGTTGGCCTTTTTCACTCTGTGAAACAGGGCTAGAGACCAATGGCTCAGGTGAAGGAGATGACTTTCCTGTTGTTGACTTTGGTTTTGCAGTCTTCTTCACTGGTGAGATACTGGGATCCTTGAACACAATTCCAATAACTATAGTAACATATAAACACATGAAAATACTGAACACTACATGTGAAAAGACTATGCATATAAAAACAGGACTTTACCTCTAATAAGGTAATTTAAAGTCATTATCAGGTACTTTGAGTACAGTAAGGAGACTTCTAACACCTGACATCATCATTGTACTAGGTGATGATGATTTAAGATTTATGAATCAACACATCTATTTGTGGTTGTGCAAACTATTACTGTAAAACCCTGATAATACAGAGTAAACACATTTCAAAAAATATGTATGAATTTCAAAAGACCACATTACAAACCCACCAAGCACCAATACAATATAGATTTTATTATAACAACTAAAATCAAAATACGGATGAGAAATGGTATGTGCAAATCATACTCACTTTAGACAGAATCTTCTTTGCATCTCTGATAATCTCTTTAGTAGGGTCATTGATCCCTAATGCTTCTTTGCAGAAAGTAAAATTCTCAATGGTTAAGTCTCCTGACTCCTCCACTGGGAGAAAAAAATAATTAAACATTATTTGGTTTCAGAGACTTAATGTTCTAACAGCAGTGAGAAATAATGGTGACCACTTTCAATATTATGTAACATCACAATCCAGAACACATCAACTGACAATATACCTTCCACCAGATGGTGAATTTTATGTAATTAAAAACCATAAATACCTATTTAAATATACCTTAATACAACTTTGTACTGGAAAATGATAATGTAAGAACCACAAGAGCAATGGCAGAGGGTTTAAAAGAACAGAAGCTGCCAAGAATTTGCAATACTTATCGTAGGTCTATAAATTGATTATTGCACATGAAACTGAAGATGACAAACTATAAATGAAATGCAGAAAAGCTCATCTCTTAACAATATTTTGTTTCCTGTTCCTACTACATATGATCATATAAAATGGAATATTATTTTGCAGTATTTAAATATTCTACTGGGCCAAAATATACTTACAACTTTCCATTACTTCACGATTTGACCTCGCTTTCTTCCCAGTTGGAGTATAATAATAGATATCAGCCATTTTTTTCATTGACGATTCATTTGCGTTGCGGTACACTAGTTCTCGCTTCCAACCTAACAGGGAACAGCAGTATAATTAAATCTGAATTTAACTGTTTAGGAACTAACCCGAGCTAAATGGATTGACTTTATAATGGGTTCTCCCTCTGAGATCACAGGATCTATAAATCTATATATACACTTCTGATATTTTGTGGTTCACAGCATAACATATCAATTGTGCCTCTCCAGTTTGTGATGCCATGAAGTCTTGTAAGTCATTACCAAGGTTTTGGAGAAATGTTGGTAACCACCTATAAGACTACATGACATCACAAACCAGAAGACTTAATTCAGGGAATGTTTGTTATCACGTGGTTCATAATCTTCTGTCATACCGTCCCATATTGAAAAGACTGGGAAAACACTGTATTCATATTGCAATTATTTTAAATAAAATTTAGTACACACCATACTCAAATGGTTTGAGGTAAGCAGGATTAGAAAGGTCCACAAAGACCTTTTTCCCCTTCCCTCCACTTGAAGATAGAGCAGGAGAATCTCCACGAATGTATCTTCCACCTGAAGCAGATATTTTTACGCTGCTTCGAGAGCTAGCTGATGGACTGCTTGCTGCTGAACTAGTCACTTCAGATGATACTTCTTCACTAGCAGTAAATACACCTGTTAAAAATGTATTCATACTTGTATGCCAATATCTTGTGTATAAATTAAAACCTATACTGTGTTGTAAAAAGCATGTGTAACATCTTAATGGCATATTCCTGTCTCACACTGTTAAGGTTTTCACACATTTGTTTTTTGTGTTAATCCCCCACCAATCATTCAATGCAAACTGCAAGTCAATAAGAAAAGGTATATGTGACCCTAGGACTAGAAAATCTTGAAAACCCGTAACCTACACCATCTTATAAACATACCTGACACAGAATCTGTTTTAAGGGGCACAGCAACGTGAGCAGAACTTGAAACATCCACAGACATTTCCCTCAGCATCTTTGAATTTGTGTCAGTCAAGCTGGCAACTTCGTCCTCTTCTTGCAATTCCTTGTATTTTTTTTTGGCTTTCTTCCTCCTTTTCTTCCTTGCCTCAGAACCTCTATCATCACCAGAACCAATTTTATTTTCTTCTTTTGTTTTCATAAAGCTGTGAGATAGTTGACTCCTCCTATTTACTTCTCCCCCACTTCCCATTATATCGGTGTCCCTGCTTGAACTATCTTCATCCATTGGTTCGTCTTTTATTCTTATGTCATCTGCATCTGATATTAACTTCAGAGAGAATTTCATACCCTCACAATCATCAACATTCATTTCATTGTCACAATCAATGAAAACCTTTGATGATGAGCCAGTACTGTATGAAGTCAATTTTCTTTCCATATCATTATCCTCCATACTTATTTCCAGTTCTTCGAAGTCCTGGGATGTGCTGGCACCATACGGATCTTTCCTTCCACATTTCAATGCAGACTCCGCAAGACCTGTAGAAGAAAAAATGTGATTATAACAGAATTTTACAAACTCCAATATGCTTCTCTGAGGCACAGTCCAACTTGTTTGAACCTCTGAATTAAATATATTGTCAGGTGGTCTCTCTACTGCCCATTAACTGGTGAACAAACTACAACAAATAATGACAAGTTCTCTACATTAAGCAGGGCTGTGGAGTCGGAGTCATGGAGTCAGAAGCAATTTTAGATGGAGTCGGTACATTTTTACTGACTCCGACCTTGATACAAAATCTTAAGAACTCTTTCGCTACCATGTGATCCGCCAGCGGCCTAACACTTAGGGAGATTCAATGACACATTGCGCCACATGGTGTGGGAATAATGCTTTGTAACTTCGGCTCTGGTACCTTAAGAATACAAACTGTCTACAAATCAAACGATTTTTGCAATAACCATTATATGTATATTTAAATATATGTTACAAGTCTAAAAAGTATCCTGATGATTAACGTGGTGGTGATGAAATCTCTTGTGGTAAAATGTACCATGTTAGTAGGTTTACCATTATTAATACATATTGAGCTTTTATGAAGGAGTCAGTCGGCGGTTTTAGTACTGACTCCACAGCCCTGATATTAAGCATAGATAATCAAATTAATTCCCAACTGGAATGAGTGGCATTAACTGCTGTTCTACCAATAATGGCTGTACACATTCTCAAACTGTGAGCACTCTTAAACTACAGATTGAATTGGATTACATATCATCCACTTAAAGTTTTATAAAATATACCACAGTAACACTATATAGTAACAGTGTATTAACACTATACCGACAGTAACTAAAACCCGGTATGAAAGAAGTTAACACCTTGACACAAAACTGTATTCGCTCATAAAAAATGAGAATTGTCTGTAATAAGGTGCATTAATTAAAATTCTGTGGGTTTAATAAAAGACAATTACTATGAGACACAGAAACCTTGTAAGAGACAGGGAAAACAAAGTAACCCAAAAAAATTGTTGCTCTATTTGGGATCAAACATTACTAACCATTTATTTGTTGATGACTAACTGGTTTAAATGCACAATTAAAATCTTAAAGATTAATTCTAACAAAATAAAAATTCAGGTCTTTAAAGGCAAGGCACTAGTAAGAGAGAAAATTATTTAAACTAAAAGAACACGTTAGAATTTCATTACTTCGGTTGTAATAATCTATAACAAGGGAGAATCAGATATAACACAAGCCAACAGATCTTTGTAATGGTTTTGATTTATAGAGGTAAGAAGTGAATGTTTAAATATAATGTTAGAACCGAAAGTGATGTGTAGACAATAAATAATGAAACATGTAAATGAAGGGTAAAATAAATCTCCTGAACCAATCCTTCAATAAGTAATCTGAATGCAATTAAAACCATGTTCAAGAACATACTCGATAAGAGTAACCAGTCTTCTTAAATAACAGCCTTATATACTACCAGCAAACAATAAAACAATCTTATATACAATTTAAACCCACAATATTTTCTATAAGTTAATCATGCCATTAGAAAAAAAATTCACTGACTTACCAATCAGTTTTGTCAAAACCACTGCAGAACCTTGTAATAATGCTGTATTCATCTCAAAGCCTATAAAGTCCTCAGAATCTTCAGCATCACTACAATTCACAGGACTTTTATTACCTCCCCGTTTCATATTCTCTCCATTTCTTTCACTGGCTTCAACTTCACTTCCATCATTATCTGAAGTACTGGCTGAATCGGATAAATCAAGTTGCAACTGCCATTTCTCATCACTGTTTGAAGCATATTCTGAGTCCTGTGCATCTGTATGCTTGGTATTTCCACTTTCTTTCTTCTTGGATTTCGGATCACCTACGCTATCCTCTGAAGTGACAACTTGTTCTCCACCATTATGTAATTTAGCGGTTTTACCTACACTTTCCTCACCACAGTCATCACTATTATTTGTATCTTCAGTCAACCTGCCAGAAATTACTGAAGTCACCTTGTTTCCTCTGTCCTTCACTGGTTTTTCTGATTTGACGACCTCCATGACACGCAACCTTAATTAAGTTCTAGAAACATAAAGTTCCATTCATTTACAAGATATGTACACATCAAAAGACGTTCATTTACAATTGTGGAATAAAGAACTGAATTACTACATACATACAGTACGTCACCACCAAGGGATACTATGGCCCTTTGAACCATGTCCTGGGGTGAGGCACTCCTTTAAAAGTTCTCCAATGTAATTAAGTACAATTATGGTTTATGAATGTATAACTTACAGTTATTGGCCTCGATAATCATGCGCTTTCAAGCTTACAAAACCTTAAGTTTCACAGAACATCTTATTATAAAACGCAACGAAGCTCTAAACAAATAATGTAGTACGAATATTACGCAACAGATAGCACATCCATCGCACGCCGCTTTAAACATTAAAGCATCGCCATCCGCCACTTCCGCCTATTTGTTGTTTCCCTCGTCCATAGAATTTGTACCTGTGATGTGCCTTCGGTTATGCGCCACGCAGCCTGTTAAGTTCTCATGGCATCTATAAAAGATGGTCCTGCCATTAAATGACATCGCTGTATTAATGATAATCTTTTGGTAGTTGTGAATAATTATATAGTTCGCTGTTTGCATTGTATAATGTTTTTATGTTAATCTTCCAAATAAAAAATATAACTTTTTGAATTAGTAATTATATAGTACGGCAAATAAAGGGATTAAATCCCCCCATCGTTAGTGTGTAGCTTGTAGCGCCGTGAAACACTCAAATCCTACTGGATTAAATACTCAAACACTTTCATCAACGAAAAATATTTTCGTAGTTTAGAATACGAAAGACAAGTAAAGCATATTAAGTAGCAGTTCCTTCCGCACGCAAAGACAGATTGTCCGATTGTTCTGGCCTCTCTGTAAGTGTTCGGCACAACCCAGCATGAGAAACGAATAGGCAAGGAATCACCACCTGGAGTGTGAATGGCTGGCGAGTGCCGTCAAGCATATTCCAGAGAATGGAGAAAATAATATAGAGTAATAAAGAAGACCATAAATTAGCTGCTCTCTTTGGACATTGCAACATGTGATCTGGTAGAGATTTGAGTTTCAGATTTGGTGGCTATATCATGAGAGACCCCATGGTTGAGGCAGCAAGCACACTGAAATGCATACATATAGGGAAATGTAGCCAACTCTATAAAGGCTGATGATGATTAAAAAAATGTGCAGTAAGGACACAGACCAAAGCGGCAACAGATTTATGGAAATATGTCAAACATGGTATGACACTAAGAAGGTGTAGCAAGACAAAGGCTTAGCTGTAAGATGATTCACATAATGTGGAAATGTCTTTGGAGGAAGATTCAATATATGTCAAGACTTATCTGCTCACTTTAGAGGAAAGCATACATAAACAAGCCTTTATTAGACAACTTTCTTTTAAAATAGATTTATTATATGTAATTAATCCCACATGAATGTATACTTATGAAAAGACATTTATGAAAACTAGAATGGTCTACAATTTGGATGGACCTCAAATATCAAACTTCATCTAGCAGTTCAAGTTGAAACATGGGGATAGACAGAAAACAGACACCAGAAAAAAGCTGCAACTCATTATTACATTCTTAAAGGACAATGGAAATGGTTCTGCTAAACTATCATTACATAGGTAAAATAAACACTCATTAATTTATTGTTCCAACATTTTTCACATTCAAAGATAATTTTTAATGCCCCAGAAAATATGACACTATAACATACTTAAACACTATTTTAACCAAGAAATTCAAATTCTACTTCAATATTACATATAGTTTTTAAACATATGACAATGACTTTTAAAACAAAACAGCATCCCAGAAAAATAATTAAAATTTTATAGGTAAAAATACATATGGGGTTGGGTCAAAACTATATGGAAACTATCCTAACTTAGTGAAACCAACTTCAAATTCTTTTATCTTGCAATACAAATAAAGATAAGGGATAATGATTCAAATGAATCTTACATTGCAAATAAGCAGACGTCACAAATAATGGTTATGTTTAACACCTCACTAAACTTGCCTCTGAAACTCTAACCAGGTTGAGAATGGACTGATATACCTGGATATAATGATCTGCAATACTCTTCTGATCTCTACTACAACTATCATAAAGTAAACACAGTGAAGAACAATGTTGGGGAACATATCACAAGCCAGCAATGAATAATTTTAATGGAAAATAATAGTTTTAGCGAATTTTTATCTCGTATTATTTTAATAAATTATATAGTTAAAACACATACTTGTGCTTTTATGGGAACTTGAGCCATAACCACGATCATGCGGCTTTCCATACTACCAGTCTTATAGCAGACTACACACCTCTGCATCTCCCAAAAAAGCTTTATTTACCAACATATAATAAACTCAGTGAAAGCATATAATAACCAATTCTCATCCCACTCTTTGTTTCTGTTCTTAAAAATCTTAGAAAATTATACAGCTGAAACTCCATAACATAGTACTTCTAGACATTGGTTGATGGCTAATATTGGAAAATCAATGCCATTTTGCTGTCAGAAACAACTATTACAGTGCAAAACATTATTCCTCTGACATTATTGCAACAATACAAAACTACCTTCTGCAGTGTTACTGTCAGGATATGTTTTGTACCATGAGCATTAATTACCTCTTTTCCATTGTCCACAAATACAGAGAATGTTTTATTCTTGTACAATTTAATAATGCTGTATCAACAACAGGGATCACTTATGTATAATTTATTAACTCTTAAAGCTGCTCTAATAAAAAGCTGCCAGACATAAATATGTACTGTAATTACTAAAGCATGCAAGAAGTACTAGACAGAAACAATACAAGTTCATATACAGTGAGTGAATTTACAATGATTTTCATGAGAGGGTCAGATGTATAAGTCTTCCCATGAATTTGCCACATAATGGAGCCCTGTGTGCTTGTCCACAGATAAGCCAATAGGAACAGTGCTCAGAATCAGGTGGTCAGTCATTACACAGTGTGTGCTGTTGCTTTGCCTGAACTGCTAGCTATCACTTGACTCCACCCACTGTTCATATTAGCTGTCCATGTACAAGGACATGCTGAGAGCCAGTTGTGAGTACAGATACAACAGACAATCATGTCACTCACCACATGATGATAAGAAGAGACAGTCTCTGAAATGTTTGAATGAAACTCTACAATTACATGGCCAATCCATCAAGAAGACTTCATTGTGGTGTCAGGTGGTTAACAGTGAATATTAGAATTTTAATTTAGAATCTGTGTGGCAATACATGGTCCCATTTTATTTACAATTATCAACAATGAAAAGCAAAACCTACAAGCAAGTCCAATACATATACTTACAACCATACAGAAATTAAATATTACAGCTGAAAAACATGCAGTACTTTAAAACAGACCATGGCTGGTTCCTTCCACATCCTTCTTGATTCACTTGACAGTATGCGATTCTTGCAACTGAAGCAGCATTTTAACATAACCAAAGTACAAAAAAATAAATGTTTTGCACATGTAATTTCTTTTGTCAGTGAACAAAATATGAGGCAATGTTCATTTTTTACTGTTAAATCAATGTTTTTTGTGTATATTTATCGTCACTAAATAAAATAAATTATTATGATTACAATATTTCTTCTTGTAACCTGGATTTGGTGACATGCAAAAGTAAATGTGCAAAGTAATTTTAAAACACATTGGAATATAAATAAACACACAAGATACCAAACAAAATGTGTTTTTAAGCCAGAACTTTCTCTCTTAAACATTTTAATTTGGAATTCATTTAAATATACTAAATATAATTATCTGTACATCCTAATATAAGCCATATTTATAAACAGAATACAAATTTAACACTTATGCAAGTGACTGTATTTTACCTGTGATAGGCCAACTTTTTTAAAACTCAATACATTTTCCAAGTACATCAAAGGGAAAAACTAAGCATGTAGCATACAAAATAGTTTATTAACTTCATTAAATATATATTTACCACATCTTCATAAACACAGACTTATGGGATTAACCTTGCCCAGTCTATATATATAAGTCAACTCCGAACCTCTACATTCTCAGTCTTCCAAATGGATATAATCCAATAATTTCTCCTACCTCCTGTATTTTCTTTATCTGAACTACATGTCCACTCCACTATGATCTCTTTTGATGACTTTAACAATATTGTGACCAGAATGCACAACAGGATAACACACACACCTGTGTCAGCACCAATGAAATGCCCCATCAAGTTTGAAAGACCAAAACAGTTTATATTTCATCTGTTCCCTTTACATGCACACTATAGCAGAAGGAAGGAGAAAAAAAAATAGAAGGCTTGTGTCATACACTAAAATGAATAATTTACTATGATTATGTAAGTTTCATCTGAATATGTTGCTTCAAGCTTCTTCTTATAAATTTTAAAACAGAATCCTTGTTAATGATCTTGTCAAGGTTTAACTAATCCAGACCATTTACAAACGCTAGTAAAAACACATGCCCATTAAAATTTCACACTGACACTAACTCCATGAATCAGATTCCTTCTTGAAAAGCTGCAATCGAACAGCTAGCCAAGAAATACCCTGCATTTTATGGAACCCAAAAGTTCATTACTATGTTCACATGAGCCTGCTTTCAGTTATATTAAACTAACTTAAGTCTGTAAAAATAATTATAATTATTATTTAATGATGCAGTTCAAACAGCTACATGTTCAAAAAAGTCATTTAAAATTACCTTGAAAGACGAAAAATATAAATTATAGAGGCTTTATACTGCAAGTTGAATGAGTAAGGAACAGGTTTAAATAGTTATAGTGTGTGATATTAAGTGAGGATACTGACTTATTATCATCTGTAGGTGTCTCTAGAAGGAAATAAAACAAGTACCTACTTATACCATACTGACAATGCAATGTATAGAAAATGATCATCAAACTGATTACTTAAGAAATGAAGGAGCACTTACAATAACAATACCATAAAACAATGAAAAGGATGTAGAGATATTTAATTTTGGAAATGACAGCAAAGTTTACAGCTATGAATCAATTATCTGGTACTCTTCTTTCATCACTACTCTGATAAGAGTGCTTTCCTTTCTCACCTTACTTTTATTATTATTTCAAGTAAGGAATGTTTATATCTTAAAAAATATACATACCTTTTACATGAAAATCAACTGTAACACTTTCATATGTGCAGAGACACTTGTCTGTGATTCCCCCTTCAAGGTAAAATTCAATGTGCATCAGAGAAATGACTCAAGACAAGATATGAAGAAAAGAAACATTCATTATTTCACATTCATATAGGACATGTTTACAAACACTTCATATGTTAATTTTGTCTCTCTATTATAAGTACTCAGAATTCCTACTTTAGTCCATGAACAAATACAGATTTATAAACAGAATTATGTACAATAATAACAACTTTGGGCAAGGCTTAAAAGTGACACAAATGGTACTCATTTAAATCAAATAATTATTCTGTAAATAATTTAAAAAGCTCACAAAGATATAACACTACCACCAGCATTCCTCCCTCACGTAAATTAACATTACTGAATTAGCCTCATGGTGGTTTTTCAAATCACCTTCTTCATATATATATGTAACAAATGCTTAAGTAGTAACATTATAATGAATTCCTGCTTAGTGCAATGCAGTTAGAACCTTTAGTTCACTAATGATCAACAAATAAGAAAAAGAGGAAAGGCATGGCACTTACTGAAGTGGAAGGACCATGGGAATGAAGATACAGAGATTTGTACAAGTGCTTATGTAGTTCCTTTACACATAAGGGCTGCGGACAGGGGGGGGGGATTTTTTTTTCACTCTTCATAGCAAAATATCATCATCATCACAGATTACAAGTTACTGTAAATAGAAAATAGATGTAATAGTAGTCTTCTCTTTATCTGAAAGATTAATCTGATGCACCTGAAACAAAATAATGTATGCTGAGAATTACAGAAACACAATATTGGACATTGTCCACTGCCTCACGTATATATGATAAGTGTACCATTTCAGGAGCTGGCTTTACTCACATCTCCAGGTGAACGGTTGTTATTATAGTGACATTTTTCTCCTGTATTGTCAGTAACCATGGTCAGGATCAAAGTGAAGACCTTCCAAATACTAAGCTAGCATGCTAACCACTAGACCACTCAGGCAGTTCACAGAAGGTTGTGCTCATAATTCTATTTATGTAGCATGTCCAGTTTCCCTATTTCATAGTACAGGTAGCTAATATGGAGCTTACACCTAGGCTTGGTCGACAGACAATTCGTTAGTCAAATTTCCATTATTCCAAAATGACAACTTCACTGTGACAAAGGTAATTCTGTAGGGAGAAATGGGCACTTAATAATTTGCTTCTGTTCTACTGCATAGGAAGCTTGTCCTTATACTGTACAGGACCTAGACTCGTGTCAAACTAGAGACCCTGCAGTATGTTGTTTTATTATGAGATATTTTATGCTGTTTCTTGCTACTACATAATGCATCCTCAGGTTGCAGACAAACCTGGTCTTCAGATACACAGCACAGCTGTGTCAACAGATGAGAAGAGCTCTTCCAGTTGGAGGATTATGCATGGAGCTAAAAACCTATTACTATAAGAGGCTGCACTATTACAAACTCATCAACAAAGACTACAATTAGACAGGTTATTTGTTATGATATTACTAACAGTAAAAGAAAAGGAAGTTTGAATCTGGACCATCAAAACTTTGTCCAGGTGACATCTGCTGACTGTAATAAGTAGATTATTGACAAAGTATTTGATTCAGTGTAAGTATAATTAAAAAACATTTTGTGAAGAACCATAGCCTCCAAAAATATTCTAAGGTGGCAAGCTAGTAGCTCCACATGCAACCCAAAAACACACTACCACCCTCCCTGGTTATCCATGACTGCTTATTCAGTGCATTCACAGCTATTACCCTTACCTGGAGGATAGAATAAGGAGGCATCTTCATCAGGATTAAATGTATGAAACAAAACAGACACAACCTAAACGATCCCCTAATCATACAGATTAAACAAGTTCAAATAATGACAAATTCAAGCTAGAAAACACAAATTAAAGCAGGTCAGGAGACACACTAAACAGGTTACAGAATCATTTCTGTCACTGACCTTCATTGGAAACAAGTTATTTCTTCTTGGTTGGATTCCTTTGTGGGGTGGATGGTCGTCCAGAGTTCATACCACTGTACTGATACTTGGCTTTCTTCTCTGATGGCTTTAAGATCTACAAAAGCAACATAAAAGTCTCTCTATTTTATCACATTACCATTACAGCTTCATCAATTAACTTCACAATTTAGAATCTATAACTAAACCAAGAAGTTCTAGAAAGAAATTAGTATGCCTACCATTCTTTAAGTCCTTCAGTATATATGATGGGATGGCAAAAATAATTATACATTTTATTTCTAATGACCAGAAGTTTCAATTCCATCACTAAATGCAAACAGTTTTAATGCTGATTAATGTTCAAGAATGAACATATGTTCACAGCATATTAACACATGCACAGCTTTTGTGCAAATGGTGAGTAGTGGCCTAGAAACCAGCGTGACCACATCACAAGTGTCACACAGTATGTTCAGAAAGTCTACTACATGGTGTGGTGGTTGCATTGTAAACAGCATATCCTGTACTTCACAAACTAGTGCCCTAAACACCTTCCACACAACATTCAACCCTGTATTATATTAGCATATATTTTGATTCACTGGACAAGCTGAAGAATATTCTAATTAATAATAATATAATACAGTGTTCACTTGGTTAACGATAGAAACTGGTTCAACAAAAAACATTGTTAATTGAAATGATTGTTAATCACATGTAGGAATTAAAGGCTTAATTCAATCCAAGACAATCAGAAGTCAACTTTTCACCCTAAATACATAATTTATAATATTCAAATAAGCAATTTTAATAAATATAGGATATATGAACATATTAAAGCATTAATATACAGGAACATGGATAAACAATGAATAAAAAATTATAGCATAAATTAGTGCATAGAGTATAAAATATAAAATACTTTCCTTAGGGTAAAAGAATGGATGGCTTAAGTGTTTCATGGAGAAGTTGGGGTGGGAGAAAATTAATTTTCACGGATGGTGGAGGTTTAGGAATCACTGGCTTGAGAGCACTTATTTCTATACCTCTTTCATACTTTTCCATATTTCCAGCTTAATTTAAGTTAAAAAAACAAAGTATTCAAGATAGCTGTTTCCACAAGCAATATACATCAGACAATGAAAGGCAAGGGTCACTGATTAGCCAAAGTCTGCTGAGCCCACCTAGGAGCGCTCTAATTGGCCAAAATTGAGGGTCATGTGATATAATAAACATATTGTTAATAAAAATTTATCACTGATAGAAACAACTGGACCCTATTAGAGGCAGATTGTTAATAAAAACATCGTTAATCGACGGCAAGGGACCAATGTATAGCAAACAAATTCAGCAATGACCAATTAAGTCAAGAAATGTAAGTTTCCTGTGTGACCTAATTCTGCACATATTCATCTTCCATACAGTTAGGCCTTCATACCTGAAATGAGCACATAAGTGTCTCATCCACTGACATCATGCCACCAGCATTGTCAAACTCTCCACAATAATTAGGAGCTGAGAACAGTGTCACTAACTGGCGTTTTGCAAAAAACTCATAACCATCTTCCACAACCTGCAACAGATACAAACTGGAGTTATATAAAGGTAATTGCTATCACATACAGCAAATACCCTCAAGCACTGAAAACCAACTTGTTAGCGGATAAAGAGAGTAATTAAATACACCATATATCCTGTCTCTTAGTTTTTTTTATGTTTAACCAATTCCTGATGCATGAAAGCAATAACAAATCTATTCTGCAAAAACTATACTTTACTTATGATGTTCTGGTCACTTTTAAGACAAATAAGATGATAACATGGAAGCTGTTCACAAGTTTAACTTTGTTAAGTCAACTACACATGAAGGGCTAAAGACAATTTTATTAGCTTCAAGTACCAGCATCTAGTAAATTGTCATCTTTTGCATTCCATATGTAAATGAAAAATTCACTGACTAGAATCCAAATTAAAATTTATCCCGTTCAAAATGAACATATCTTGTTAACTTTACACAAATGAAAAGACACATAATGATCCATAATGAGGAAAGTTAAGACTGTATTTATATGCATACCACAGTTCAATTTTTGTACAGGTGATATAAAATTTCCATCCTTAAGAAAAGAACTGCACTTTCTTACCTGGTGTGCCCGGCAGATGAGGTCAAGATCATGTCGATTGAGAAACTTGCTGACAACATCTGCACCAAATGTAAATGAGACTCCACGATCATTCTCTCCCCAACCCTGGACATCCTTGTCAGGATCTGACCATAACAAGTCACATAACAATCCTGATGGAAAACAAAAGCAAAGTAATTAACACAAATTGCTAAGGTCTGCATTGAGTATTTTTTCATAAAAATCCTAATGATTGAAACACACTCTATAAACTGATATTGTAAAATTCATGTCTTGATGAAGAAACATAAGAAACCAATCCATACATCATAAGCAGTTCATGTCTTTCATTTTACATAT